TGTCAAAACAAAACATCAAAGCCTGACTAGCCTCGCTTGCATGCGACTCGTCCCGGGCGCCAACCGAGCGGTCCGCCATATTTGCATTCGGTGTATAAGGTTAGCCGTCTTTTTTGTTGTGGATGTTTATTTTGAAATAAAAAAGGCGGTAAAAGGTGATGAATAACAACATCAATAACAACATCACTGTGTTTTGCTCTAACACAAAGGCACGAGGGAGTGGATATTTGCCATACAATGAAAGAAGTAAACCCGAACGCAGTATTAAAAGAAACCTTTTTTTTTTTTTGACATGTGTTTTACAGGATTATGCTACCAAATTACATGTAACAGGTAATTCAGGAGCCCACTACCCGGTAATGGTAGACAAAACGGTCCAAACTATTTGCCAACCCTGACTAGTTCCCAATCCGCCGTAGGAAAAAAGATGGGGACTGGTACATTTACCCATAATTCTTAGCTCGAGGAAACTTAAAAAAACGCTCCCAGCGTAGACAATGCCCGTAGCGCATGAAAAAATACTGCAAAAATGTGGCTTTCCTTGTAATTTACAGGCTGTATTAGGTTCGCATGGTATTGTGGTAAAATGTACAGCCGCCATCTTTTTTCCTACGGAGGATTGTCTTCTCTCACGCCCGGACTCTACCATAATCCTCTGAGTCTTACAGTTTTCTCATAGGACTGGCGACGAGCCCGAGAAACATTCTATTGTTTAATTCCCCTACCCAATCATCGGTGAACACGTTATTATAATTTTTGGCGACAAAACTAGCACGGTGGATTTTTTTATTATCAAATTTTGATAAGCAGAATAACATGCAACTTTTAGCAAAGTTTACGAAATTCTGTACATAAGGTTCAGAGCCACCTTAAATTTTCAAAACTAGAATAGGACCCTTCGGGTTCCCTCAGCAATTACTATATTAATTTGGTAGTAAAATAAATAAATATATGATAAATTTAGCTAGTGAAATTTTTCTTATCTAAACTGATAGCTTGTGTACCTTTGATCCTCACCTTTCATCGTTGTAATGAAATATTGCGAGAATAATATTGAATTTTAATTATCAATTCTAACCCACTGCTTAATTAATGTTTGTCAAGGTGGTCCTGACTATACAAAACCTTTGTAGAACGTCAGACCAAGGTAAACAAGCTCTACTTAGTTAATTGCAGGGCCATCTGCTTTGCTGGTTTAATTCAATTCAAGCCCAACATATGAAAAAAAAAACATCTTCTTCTCAGGACAAGGTACGTTTTTCAGATATTCCTTTGTTTCTATTTTAGTTCTTTTTTTTTTTCATAAACCCTGATATTGAAATTTCTAGTTAATACAGGCGGGAAAACTGACTAAATCACTCCTTCCGATTTTTTATCTTTAATTTGCGTTGTTAGATAAATGCAAAGCGGGTGTCCAAGGCCAAGTTTAAAACGAAACGAGTCAGAGTTGTTCCTAACAGAAGGAAATTCTAACCAAATTAACATGAAAAAAGCCTACACTGTAGTGAAATCCTGATTTCTCGAGCCTTCTAGTTTTCGAACCTCGCGATAACTTGAAGTAAATGTCGTTTCCCTCCCTTTAGTCAAACGCTGTAATTTTACCTCCGATTTCTTGAACTATCCGATTTTTCGGAAACCAATTTGGCGTGATATCATTGAAACGGTCCGTTGCAACTGGGTGATGGACTCAACTCATCCAGTGGGAGTAGCTTCAAGTCGCTTCCGGAGATGACAATGACTGGCATATAAAAAATTATTTTCGCTTACTAATTATAACCGAGAAAAGGTATTTTCTCAGAAATTGGCACAATTATGTAAAACATTATTTTTTGAAAATGATTTCACGATTTCTTTTTCATTGCTACAAGGCGAAGAATCTATTACGAATATGTTATGAATCTGTAATAACCACCGAAGCGAATTCGCGACAGCGGGATAAATAAACGTTTTAATTTTCGTTTTGCAGACAAAGTAAACTGTTAAGCTAAGCCGATAATTTGTTTTTGCAATTTAATGTAGATTCTCACTAGCAGTGCAGTTTCAACGGGAGATAATATTAAATATACAATACATTAAAGGAGCTCAGTGATATTATTTTGAGTTATTTTGGCCATGTACAAAATTACCCTTAAATTGAAGGAAACCTGAAAAAAACAGTTTACTAAGATAGAAAAACACCATAGAGATAATGATAAACCATAACGGAACAAGGATAGTTAAAGATGGAGACGATTAATGCGGATTGCAAATGACGAACGTGAGAAATTTAGGCAAACTTTTCAGGATGTGTAAACCGCAACGTAGCTCCTTTAGGACTTGAACATTTTACTAATTTCTTCAGTACCCTCCGGTTTGCGTTTTGTGAAATGAAGGGAAAGACTGGGAGTATCGTGGCCCCCTGTTCTGGATGGGAGGCAAATTTAATTCCCTACCTCTCTAGCTCCCTTTCACTAACCCAAATAAACTTAGTTCACGGTTATCTGTCGTCGCTGTCATAACTGAGTTGTGAACCAAGTGACGCAAAGTGCACGAATAAAACTTCCTTTCATTTTCTGCAGTCGGTGGAGAGACCGTTATACAATCAGAGATCTAATGGTCAAAATACACATTTTCTCCTGGCAGAAGAATACGTCTCATCGTCATTCAAAATTTAAAAATTTTCCTCTAAGGCAAATGTTATCCCCCTAAATTGGCTTATGTTCTCGAAAATCTGACCACTTAGACTTAAATCTTTAGGAAGAGTTCAAAGATTTTACCTTGTTCCAAAATTGTAATCTTTGACATCCTTTTTACTAAGTTAGCTCTCTTGGATTTTGATCAGTAAAAAAAACCTGGACAGGTTTGTTCTAAGGCATATTGTAGGAAAACAATGCAATACTGATGCTGCTTTCAATTACCGGGCCCCGGTTGCCCCACGCACATATATCAGGATTTAAGAATGGTAGTGCCGTGTGTCGGCAACTTTATTAGTGTTTCATGGAGGATTCATGGTTATCAGGAACATCTGGAATCGGAGGAATATTTTATTTCACAGTGATTTTACTGCACATGACACAGTTGATAGTGTCCTTACATGGCGAGGTAAACATGATGAGATTCATCCACAATTCGTAGAATTCTGATTTACATAATATGCCATATTCAAGAAATACTATTTATGAAGGTAGCAGTACACCGTTTCGGAAAGTGTGGCAGGCGTTGTGGTCGATCTGATCGAGACACCTGGGTCCCGGAGAATTGCCGATCTAGAATTGTTGGGGGAAAACTGAAAGAATATTGCTGAGTAACCTCCCATTCAGGCAGAGTAGCAATACTCCTATCTGCATCACACTATAAAAAACAGAGGTATGATCCTTTTGGGTCTTTTCTTTTAAGGCTTAACTTGCTGGAAAGTAAACTCTGAATTCTATCGTGTTGACAGTTGACTTGTTGCTTAGTATAGACTCGCATAAAAAAAATCCTAAAAGTCGTTGAGTAAGGTTTATTTAGTATAGTCGAACCTCCAGTTGAGACCACCTCTCGTAAGCGACCACCTCTCCTCAGCGACCAGTTTTCCAAAATACCAAAATTATCCAAGCCAAATCACTATAATTGAGACCTCTTGTACGCGACCACCTCTCGTTAGCGACCGCGACCACTTTGAGAGCTAAAAGTTTGAAATTTTCTTTTGCTTTTAACCTTTCGTAAGCGACCACCTGACAGGTAATAGAGGGGAAATTGGATAACAAGGTGTTGTAACATTATCGTATTCCTGGGTAGTACAAGAAACGGAAATTTTCCAATAGGAAGAACCGGATTTTTTCTCGAAATTGACTTTAACATAAATAAAACACTGGCGCAGTTATGCACTTTGCAGTTACCATATCCTAATGAGGAAAAATTTTGACCCAATATGGTCTTAACTCTTGTAAGCGGCCACTTCCCATAAGCGACCAATAAGCGGGTCAACTGTATTTTAAAACTGATGTCCCAATCGAAGAATAGTTTAATTTTGGGTACGAATCAACTAGTAACTGCTGTAAGCCGTTGTCTAGTGGTGAGTTTCATCTTGAAAGTAGCAGCTGTTTCGTCGCTTTCCCGCGGTAGAAAACAAAGCGGCGTCGTTCTTTGAAGGCAGAGGGAAATGGCAACGATTCTCTCCGAAGACTGTGTGATGCTAATAAATAATGCTGGCATTATCTTTATTTTTTCACCACTCACTATTAAACAACAGCAAGAGATTATGTGGCAACAACTGGGAAAGCTGCTCTCATCAATGACATGGATGCGAATTTTCCTGGTCTAAAATTAAAGTCAACAGCATAAACGGTTACTATTAATTGGGAAAAGAAGCAATTTGTGAACTTCTAATATAGATTGTTGAAGTTCCAGTTATATGTTCGCATTGTCTGAAAACAAAAGGGCATCCACAAACGAATTTTCACTTAGAAGAAACACTTGCGACCACTAAAAGATAAAATTTTATCCATGAGCACATTTGTTATCTAAAAAACAAATTACCTAGTATTGAGAAACCAAAGTACCATCAACCAGTTACTAATAAAAATAGCAAGGACGCTATAATTTCCGTGTAAAACCCCTCTTAATGTCAATTTTTGTGTACTTTAGACTTCTTATTCCGTAGTTTCTGCAGCTCCTGCCAGAATGTTCGACTGAATTGAAAGCGGAGCTATGACATCTTGGAACTAAACGCGTGATTTCTCACGAACTGCAAAGCTTCCAAATGTAAACAGGAAGCTGAAAAAAATCAAAATTACTGACATGCATGTCATCCATGGGGGCTATTGTTTTAATCTGTCTTCTTTGCCCAGCTGAAAGTGTTAATTTTGCATTTTTTTTACCCAGTAGGAGATCATCTCAAGATATAATTTACAAACACAACTTTGATTTTAATAAATACATTTCTATTCCAGAGATAATATTACAGTTGTTTTGAATGAGGTTTGTGCTTTCGATTTCCCCTTGGTCTGTGGTATTACGAAACGAGTTGAAATAGATAATCTTCTCGTTCGATATTTCATTCGTCGACCAATACGGAATTCTTTGGCAAAAGGCCGAGAAAGACGAACGGCTTCCGTGCGTATTTTTAGGATACTTCCGCTTTGTGACTTAAATAACCCACGTTTCAAACTTTCTGCACGAGTATCAAATTAAGGGAACTGAACAACTGAATAAACTGAACAAAAACTACTTGGAAAGCGGCTTTGAGCTATTTACACATGTACTTGTCAAGGTTGCTGAAGGTTTATCAGCTTAGTTATCAATTTTAGCTACGTAGCGCTCCTTGGAAGACCTCCGTATCCGAACAAACCGCACCTGCTACGGCAACTAAGAGGTATGCATCCGTAGAACATTCGAATTACTTAACCAGAATAGTTACGCAATAGTAGAAAAGTTTCTCTCTTTTTTTTTAATTAAGTTCCTTTTCTTTTTTGTCGTGCGAAGTATGTTGTGGGAGTGCGAGGGCGAATCAGCTCTTAAAATGCCTCAGTCAATAATCTCTGCTGTGAACTAAACGAGTTTTACTGAGGCCTTCAGCTTCTGTTATTTTCAGATTCCAAGCTTTCGTCGGAAGCCTGTCTAACAATAGGATTCTTTATTATGTGATGTAAATTGAAAAAGATAAACGTCATAGATCTGCTTTCGAAAGACTTGTCATAATATTGTCGGAAATATTTGCCAGTTTTAATGCACCTCGTTCAGAACCTGGAGAAAATTAAAGAAAGTGACGTTCAATTTTCGTTCTAATAATTGAGAAAAAAGACAGGGGCTTTTGGGAAAAAAAAAACTGTACAATGAGTTATTTATATTTAACGAGAATAACAATAGCTTAAGACCTCAGTCGAATCGTTTATTTAACCACCCAACTTGCTAATGAAGGACAACTTCAAACGTCTGTTGTTTACAATGAAGATATGAAAAAAGACTCAAATTCTAAAATTGTCATTATTCTTCTAAAGCGAAATATAATAAGATAATCTTTCAAATGGTTAAGAAAGTATTAAACCTCAAACAGATCGAAGTCCATGACACGGGCTCTTGCCTCAAAATGTAAACAGTACTTTGATTCTTTTGCCAATGGTAGTTCCAGTTGTTTTTTATCTGGATTCAAGGTTGGTTTTGTCGCAACATGAGGTAAGCTTTGAGACGTACTGCTTCGCGAGTTACGCAAACCCTCAACTTGTCGCGAAATGTGAGCAAACTTTACGCAAATAGGGTTCGGAAAGTTACCGGCGGTTTGATTTCTTTTCTCACGTAGAAAAAGCGTGTTTGTTTGCTCGAGGTCGTTTTATCTATCTCTGAACAAAAAGGTGTTTCTTTTCCAGTATAAGTGCTGTATTGAAACGAGATTTTCAAGATGTTCATCCCAAGAATTTGCTGGCTTTACGGTAATTGTTTGGTTACAACTCTCTGAATATGTTGACATTACCTAGCTATTAACGCGTAAAGGGAAATCTCTGAATTTTTCTCATTATGTGACTTCTATCAAGCCAAGATCACACAGATCATCAGGAGCTTTTTTTTATGTGAGAAATTCCCGTCACTCTTGTATTTACTTGTCTTTTTTCTGATATTTTAAGATCGTGTGACCGCAAGTTTGGTGTCGTCGTAAATGTCATCGTAGAATAAAGGAAAAGGGAACTGTTACAAAAGCCAAATCTTTGTTTGTGGGGGGCTTGGAAATTTCCCCAAAAAAATCTTCGCACAGAAAAAATGCTCAGACTTTTTGCCAGAAAAATTCAATGGCCCGGGGCTGTGCAGATAGTCCATGATTGATAAGCCCACCATCTTAGAAAACCATCCGCGTTAAGGCCTCTAGGCCTCTTGTTATATCTAATTCTAACTCTTATTGGTCTCGACTTTGGCTTTTTTAGCGTACCTTTCCCTACCCTTCTTCGTTCCACTCTCCTCTCCCCTCCACTCCGCTTCCCTCTCCTCCCCTCGTCCTTTCCCCAAGGAAAAAAAGAGACAAAGAACGAATGTGAAGAGAGATTTCAAAAGGATGAGGATCAACCGATTATTGTTGTGATCGTAATTGATTCTTATTTGTTTTCGAAAAAAAAAAATTACAAACGAATAAATTTTTTTCAATCGAAATGTGCCAGAAGCTTTATTTCAATTCTTTTTGCAGCATCAAAAGTGTCAAATCTTTTAAAGTACAGGGTCAACTTGTCATAGTTATCTCGAGAAACGATGGCAGTCATGAAAATGAGAAAACAAGAGAAAAACTTTTAAAATTGTTTTCACATAGGAGTGATCATAGTAAATGCAGCTGTGGTGGAAAAGCCAGCGGCACTTCACGTGACGCTCTTAGTTTACGCTAATATCTGGTAATAAACCAAGCTCGAGTTTTATAAAAATTATTACTGTAAAAAAAGTTTTTTAGTGGATACAGCTTATCACAATCATTATCTTATCGTAATCCTTCATTATTACTAATACCAATTTGATGAATTCAAAGTTTCTAGCAGAGGAAGTAGTTTATCTAAGTCTCAGTGTCGTTATCTTGGGTGTAGCTGTCAGGACATCTCACGAATATATTAACAAACAATTTGTTGGAAGAGCTCTGCACTTTCCCCCAGTTATTAAAAAGGAAGTAATTCTTTGAATAACGATATGTTAATAACAAAAAAAATCCCGATACATTCCTTTTATGATTTTGTATCGCTTGTGTATCGAACTATAACACAAATAATCTGTTTTCATCATTTTCTTGGAGTTCCGAATAATAAAATTTTGGAAGTAAAGGTCAGTGAAAAAAAAGCAGCCAAGGAAATTAATATCCGGCCAGAATTTTCAATAGGAAACAGATAGAAATCATTTTATTGTTTGTGAACATTGTGAGAACCCTTCATACAGTTTTTTCCTCAAGGCCACTGTCTCTTTTTGCCACTGCAGTTATTAGAACGAAAATAAAACTTCACTTTCTTTGATTTTTTTGTAGATTTTTTAACAACTGGTACATTAAAAATGGCAAATATTTCCGACGGTATTATGACCAGTCTTTCGAAAGTAGATCTATGGCGTTCATCTTTTTCAATTTACAACATAATTAAACAAATTCTATTTTTTTTTTTTAACAAATTCTATTGTTAGACACATTTTAAGTCCTAGTTTCATTTCCCATTCAGTTTGAGAAAAATACTGTAAGTTAAATTTAAAAATTCTTATTATGGAGTACGAATGAAGAACTTACAAGTAGAAGTTTTTTACTGATTAATTTACAGATGATACGTGCCTATCCTCAAGGTGCATCCGCCAAACGAACATTAGCTTAGTTCTACCAATATTTGCTTTTTCATCATGATGCAAGTCATGTCATTTATAACTTTTCTAAATGGTTTCTACATCCTGTTGTGTAATTGATCTGATCCGAGATCACTATTTGAAGAAATAATCGGTTCATCTTTTCTCTCACTGGCGTATTACTGCAGAGGGGAGTTCAACTAAAGTCTGAACTGTTGACGGCGGCGTTTTATCGCAAAGTTGTTTTTTGAAATTTGTTTCAACCAGGACGACGGTGCCTTGTGGATATGATAATCTAGAATCAGATTTGTTCGTTTATTAAATTGAAGCTCCGTTTCTGAACTGAAGGAAATACTGAAGAAAGGTAAAACACTAAACTGACAATTTTAAAAAGAAAGGGAAGGTAAGGGTCTATTTTTATTCCGCTCATTTGCTGAAATGAACTTTTTAAAATTCCTCTTTTGGTCAGTTTTGGTTAAAGTGATATTTTGACATTTCATACATATCGTTTTTCTTTGTGTGTGTGTGTGTGGTTTTTTTTTTTTTTTTTTTTTTTNTAGATGGGAGAGGGGAATTTTTCAAAATATCATGAACTAAATATATATATATATTTTCCAAAGTCAATCATGTTAGTAGTGTTAGTGTCTGTTTATTTATTTATTTATTTATTTATTTAAAATTTATTTATTTATTTATTTATTGTATTTGAGGGTTTTTTTTTTTTTTTTTTGCTTTTTTCCTAGAAGTCTCGGGTCACTAAGAATGAGAATTCATGCGGAGGTGTTTGTAAATACTTATTTTAGTTGCGACGACCTTTGCCACGTTTCTTTCCGAGAACGTTTTCAAGTTAAGCGTATTTTGAGTGATCAGGGAACAGTTTAGAAATGAAAGCTGGTTGCCATTTGTAATCGATGGCGAGCGAGTGTTCACCCGCTCGAAAGCTGAGAAAATTGGAAAACCGAACCTTGATTGTGTATTTACAGACTTAGAATGACATGCAGTGTCTTTCAATAACGTGTGTGGATTTGCATACGGACATCACGATCAATCACCACCGTTAATCGTCAGTAAACAGCATTATATTCAACAGAGAATTGAAGGTTTCAATGGACGTCATCATTATTATTTTACCGTATGTCTGCTCTTCGTTGCACTGACTCGTGTTTGCTCTGACGCAGGCTAAATGTCAGACCGTCAGTATCCGCGTATGGATAGTAAACATACCCTTTTATTATTTCTACCTTCAGTCGAGATGATGGAAGACAACACTGGCCAAAAAAAAAAATAGTGCCAAAAACATAATAGGACAGTCCAATACCTGTATAAGATATGAAATTTTCAGCGAAGAATGTTTGTGATATATTCTTTGACCTTCTTTAATCTTTAATCATTCTTTAGACACGGATTCAATTGTATTTAATTTTATTATTGTTTTGCAGGCTTTTATTTTACTGAGCGAGATGAACAATACGGAAAACGCCACTACATTTTTTGAACTCGAGGAAGAGCATCACGAGGAGGAGGTCGGTGACGTCGCAAAGATTATCGTCATCGGTGCTTACGCAATTATCCTCCTGTTGTCATTCGTGGGCAATTCGCTGATCCTCCATATTGTACGCACACGTCAGAGCATTCGTCAAAACCCTTTCAACTGGCTTTTAGTCAACACAGCACTTGCTGATTTCTTGAATGTGATTACAGCGTCCTCCTTTACTGTGCCAATATTCTTGTGTGGAGAATGTTGGTTATCAGGGACAACAGGAACAATACTTTGCAAGTTAATTCCATTTTTCTTAACCGTCTCCATTTGTGTTTCCATCTGGAGCCTGGTCATCATTGCAGCCGACAGATATCTGGCGATAGTATGCACGGTTCGTCAGAACAAGAGGCCATTGTCCGGCACGTCTGTGTTAAGGTGTATTGCAGCCGTCTGGTTCTTTGCCGGTTTGATATTCAGTTGGGAACTTTATCAGTACACAGTAGAAGAGGAGGACGATGACGTTGCCGTGTGCCTCGCTCAGTGGCACAAGGACTGGGAAGAGCTCTCCATCATCCTTGTTAAAGCGGAAATGATTGTTAAAGTTGCCTTCACCTATGCAATCCCGCTTGTCATCATGGGAGTTCTGTATTCGTTGATCGCCAAGTTCCTGTGGAGTCATAAACCACCAGGAAGTACTACCCAGCTGACGCATGCAAAGCGCACAAGGAGCTTCCGAGGGGTAATCAAGATGCTGATGACAGCTGTCGCTGTTTTTGCACTATGTTGGCTTCCTGTGCACGTTGGTCACATAATGTCCGGATTTTTTCGCGATAGCTACGACACCATTCCTTTTATGATCCAGGTACTGCTCTATTGGGTGGCTCATGCTAATTCTGCAATACATCCCTGGCTGTTCATTGCCTTCAGCGAAAACTTGAGGAGAGAAGCCAAAGAAATTCTTCAGATATTTCAGGGCTGTTGTAATGGAAAGAAAAACGTTTTCGACCAAATAAGACTACGTACTTTCTCCCTGCCAACCTTGATCACCACTCCTGATATGTCTTCTCGTAGGGCAAACACAATGAAAAGAGGCTCTTACGTTATTACGACCACTCCCTGAATTTTCATGGAATCAGTTTTTAAAATTGCTCCAGCAAATGACGTAACATTTTTTTCTTCCACACTGTTCTTTAACGCATGCGATATACAAAACATAACTTCTTCGATGAAATGAGACATTGTACAGGTTTAGCTGACACCTTATTAAAACAGATCTGCCATCTGAGAAGATTGTCCTTGAAAAACACCGTGAATATGAACGATCATCAGCGATCTGAAGCAGTCCAGCTGCTAACGACCATAATTGTCCACTTTTTGATATAAGCATGCAAAACTTTGCCACATAACTTTCATTACTGTGACAAACATTTTCAGATATGACGCCAGCCGCGCACGTCCCAAATCTCGACTGCATAAAAACAAGGCTCAGACAAACTGTATTTTGCAGGGTAGTTTCTATATATAAGTATCTTTTTGAATCGTGCTCGCGTCTGCATGCGCGATATTTTGTTTCAGTTGTGGTTACCAGCCTTAATGATTGCTAATGTAGAACTAATTTAATGAGTAGCGCATGAATTCCAAAATATATATCGTTCAGTTCTGGAATTCCTTGAGAAAATACGATTATAAGGGTGTGTATGTTAATGAATTTAAGTGTCAATTTATTAATTTAGCAATGCTGGACTAATTCAGGACATGCCACACAACATATTTTAAATTAGCAAAGAAATATTGAAAAGCAAACAAAAAGGCCAAGAAGCCCAACTGGTGTTCGGGGACAAACCGTTGGCTATTGAAAATCGCTGCCACCTTAAAATTAAAGCTGAAGTTCTGAAGTTCTTTTACCTGAAGCCCTGATTGTAAAACCGTGATATCGTTTGATATTATTCGCAGATTGAGACAATGTAATGGTGTTGGGGAAGATTGGGTTCTAGCAGTTTACCAACTTTTTATCGAGTCACCATAAAATAAGGCCAAATTGTTGTACTTAAAACGGACAAGTGGCCCAAAATTGTCACTGAATTACGTCATTGTGACGCGCTTTGCAATATGTCCAACAGTATTCACAAACCACGCTAAATTACACACATCGAGTAATATCTGTCATGTATATATAACTGATAAATGATAATTAAATAGGACTTCCTGACCACTTGTAGGGACATAGTAACCATTGGTGGATTTATGGCACTTGATATCTTCCATATTCACTATGATAATTTTGTGTTCGTTTTACACGTACTTCTAACAGTTAAATCATAAGGCCAATGTTTGCATCCTATACTTGACGAGCATCTGTTTAACGCATACCTATTTCGTATCGTACGGAGGTGGGAGGGGGGATATTAGGCTTCAGGGAATCAATACACAAATTAAAGGCACTAAGGAATTTTTTAACTCACAAGTCAGAGGAAAACTGCAATTTAACTAAATCAGGATTTGTGAAGTGTGAATTTAGAGGGGGAGGTGGTAGAGGGATATATCTTAAAGTGAGCCTTATTAAAAAGCGCTGCTGATTAGAGGAAACGACTGAAGTACAACAATGCGTTATTTGAAAAAATATATGGATTTGTATTCTGAATAGCATTAGCGTTAGCCTTGTGGCGACATAGCCATGTACTTTAAAACATTTCCGGGTAAACGCATAATGTACGGCAAAAGAGGATTATCTAAGAGAAGCATTCTCACACCGACATAAGCCTTTGTTAAAGATAATGCTTTGAAATCTATTAAGAGCGGTTTTCATTTCAGTGTTGAAAAGTAATTGGTTTTGCATCAACTACGCGACGCAATTGGCTAAAACAACTTGCGCCATTTTTTCATCCAATCAGGAGTAAAACCAAAAACAATTGCGACTCGCTCGCACTCGTTCTCCCTCACTTTGCGTCTGGTACATGTAATTACTTCGACTTTCATGATTGGTTCACTGTATTGTCTATATCCTTTGTGAATGGCTAGAGTGGTAAATTTGGTTTCGATTTTACGGCACTCGATTGAAAACCGCTCTGTAGAAAGATGATTGATTGGTTTAACGTTGTCTGGTTGTCAGGCATCACTATACGGGTCGTGACAACATCCAGTTTTTTTACGATACACATGTAACAAATGCATGTATATATATCTGAGTGATTACGCATAAAAGGTGTCCGCCAAGTTTTAACTTAGACTTGGGCAAAGCCCGATTATAAGCCCAGCTGGCAGCTTTAACTTGAGGAGGATTAAGGTCAGGGCCAGACTGGGGATATGGCCCAAGGAGTGGGTTATAGTTATCTGCTGATAGCTTACTAGCGGTAGCCTTCAAAAGCAGGGGGAGGGGATGGTATCTTTTTTTTTTGTGACACCTTCACCAAACGCCTGTTCTCTATAAGCGTTAATAACGTTGATTTTGAATGTGTGGATCCCTGGACACTTTACTCAGTTATTGCTTGAGGTCGGTTCTGTGTTGAGAGGGCAACCTGCTGGAGAGGCAGTTGTTCCGTGGAAGCATGACGGGATAATCTCCTAACCAGGAGGGTGGACTGCCTTGAGTTACGTGCAGACATGTTGTTGTGTTAGAAATATAATATATATAGCATTAAAGGCACAGTAGTACTAAGCAAGTACAAAAAACAAACAATGTATTTCGTGAGTATATTGTGTAATTCCTTCTGTTACTTTCACAATAATAAATAATAAAATTAATAAATTTACCTTTAGTTCTATTTACTTTTAAGTATTTTCTTCCCCTTAAAGCCTAACGCAAATACTTTTTCCTCTCTCATGATGAAAAATGTATCTGAACTTGGAGCTACGATCCATCTTGCGAGCTCGGCGTCTTGCAATTGGCACTATATATAATTACGCTAGAAGCTATCAGTTGTTTTTCTCTTATTTTCATTCTGACTTGCTGGGATATCGGGACCACGCCCAAGGATCGGAATTCACAGTCGGCCTACAACGTCTTTATATATTCTTATCATTGTTTTGATCAACGTATGGATTTGTTACTTAATAAGCTGTGGCATCTCTCTCATATTATTCTTTTTTTTTTTTTTTTTTTTGTTCATATAATTCCACGAAATAGGGAGCAAGCATAGACTTGCATAATTAAATCATAAATTGTTATTTTGCAAGAGAAAACAGTGTTATCAACAGTCCCTCAGATAGGGGCGTAGGTCTCTAGATTACAACCAGTATTGTCTGGGGTTGCACTTTGCCAGCGACTCTGTTGCTACCCATTTATACTCGTGAGTGGAGATGGCCACCGGAGAGCCAAGTGTCCTGTTCAAGATCACAGCCTATAAAATGCTTCCAACCGAGACTCCCAAGGGGACCTCTCGTTCTAGAATCCCCCAGAGCTGAACACCAGGTGATCGCCCCATTCACTTTACTGAGTCTCCCAGAAATAGATCAGATTAATCCCCTGCACTCCCCTCCCGTCCACGGTTCATGTCAACCAGCAGTGATGCGGACTCATAACAATTAGTTTTCCTGCGAGGGACATCACTCTGAAGAAGCCTAAAACAAAACCAAGAAATTAAATAAACTAAATGATAATTTGATGCCTGCATGATGAGCAGCGGTTTGCAATTGAATGAAGAGGAGCATTCAGCTGCTCTTTTAGGTCCAAGGTAACAATATGAGAAAATGAAACACTACATTTTCCAGATCAGCTGCGATGGCCCAGTGGTTAAGGCGTCGGACTCGAAATCCAATCGGGTCTCCCCGCGCAGGTTCGAATCCTGCTCGCAGCGCGCATTATAGTATTTTTTTTTCGTTGTTATTGTTGTTTTGATCAGCTTTATGCAGGGTGTAAGTTTTTACGGCCTTAGATAATAACAAAGCACACTTTACGCTTCAATCGAAGTGCCTGCATGTTCTGTGTACATTTTGAGTTAATGAGACATAGAAATCAGTAAATCAACATTGTAGAAGATTAAAAACTCCTCGTGTTAAGGGGCAAGCAAGGTGAAAATTTTGTTTCAACCAAACAATCCGAATAACTTTTAAAACAACTTATGGTTAATAACCTAGCTGGAGCATAGAAGATAAGCCCACCCCTTATGCCTATCTACTCAAGTGGGTATGGATCGAGATGAATTATGAGTCGGGCGCCTTAGAGAAGTTCAAGTAGAGTATTTTCTATAATCAATACTTAGTAATTTTACGTTAAACTTGCCTTAAATGTAGAAGCTTTCTCTGAAAGGGAGCTGCGAGGACCCGATGGTACCACTGAAGAGGCTGATAACCGTTTGCGAATATAACGGATAGGTTTTAGCGATTTCCATGCCTCTTTCTTGCGCTTGAAGTTCTTTCGAATCTAATGTGGTAAGGTTAAAATATTTTAAAGTATTTATGTCATTAAGAAATTAGCTCCCTTGTTTATCAAGCTATATGTAAAAAAAGACTATTTGAATTGAACGTTTCATTGTCCTTTAGCTTCCTTGTCATAATACATTTCTTTACGTAATAGCTCTGACAATTCGGCGGTAAATCGTGACAACTGATTTGCTATTTGTCTGTTTCGCCATTGATGTGCTGCAAATTAAATATAAATTGTAGCGTAACTTATCAATGCTTTGGAATATGTAATTCTGTGACTATGGGTAAATTTTCGTATTTTAATCATCTCGACATAATAATTTTCAATAAAATATTATCAGGAGAATATTTCCGTTTGAAGTAAAATATTAGTTGGGAATTCCCAAAAAAGTTGGCAGGGGAAGATCACTTTCATGATTGTGCATAGCTCAGTGCAAAATAAAAATAAAGTAACATATATGACCGAAAAATAGATATATTGTCCAACTATATTGATAAACGTTTACGCACCTCGGAATTGAATAGACAATGGAAAAGAAAGATGAAAAATCCCTGAAAAAAATAATGAATAGGTTTAATTCGAAGAATTACTGAATTGATCAAAACTATAACAAAATTCTCGAGCGTGATTGGCTATCAGCAGCCCGATTTGAGCATTAATTGGACAGTGTACGCGTCATGCTTGTAATTGGACATTGTAATAGGACAGTATACGCGTCATGCCTGTGTAACTGGACAGTACGCGCCATTTTGTGCGCGCTGTTGCGGTGCACTTTGTTGAATAAACTGCTGTGTTTTTCAGCATTCATAACGACGTTTAATTGTTCAGCGCTCAATCGATGGTTTGTTCGTTTCTCGACTTTTGTCACAGTTTTGATTAATTGGTAACAGGGCTTCGCGTCGTCCAATTCAGTCTGTAATCATACTCGTGATTAACAAATCGGACTCCCGCTTCGCGGTCGTCCGATTTTGTTAATCACTCGTATGATTACAGACCGAATTGGACTCCACTCAGTCCTATTACCATTATTAATTAAAATTGGCGGGAACTTGCAGTAACATATTCGTTCGCTCCCAAGCCCTCTCGTCAGTTTCCAACATCCAATATGGCGTCGAAAACGATGATTGTCAACACGACATTCAATAAAGTGGTAACGTGTTGGAAAAGGTGGTAGGCTAGTCAATAATAGACTTATGTCGTTTAAATATGTGTGCAAAAAAAGTCTGAAGAATAGAGATGACATGGACGCCCTTCAAACGTCGACGAGAAGTTCCAAAAGTAAGATCAGTTGAGAGAGGTGCAGCATTACGTATTATCACTATATCATGACTAATTATCACTTGAAATATATCATGAAATATCTTTATATATATTACTGGTTTTATAGGGGAATGATTTTTGGATATTCCGTATTAGGTTAAATCATGCTATCACCAGAATATACATTGTATAATGAGGTAAGAATGTTTTCTTCCCCCTGTGATAGAGTGATAAATCATGATATTATCAGAAAATATAATTAAGTACGAATGCCTTCCTTTCCCTGTGATAAAGTAATATATCATGATACAATACAAAGCTGTCCCTTGACAACAATTGAAAGCTAAACGCAAGCAAACAGCAGTGAAACTAACCGATTTTGATATTATCATGATATATCAAACAATATACTGTCAGTGTCTGTTCTTCTTTGTTACATGATAAAACCACTTGACTGAGATCAGAATGAGGGTGATACATGATATGGTAGCTTGCCATTCTGAAGTATACTTTTCCATGCTATTCTCATGATTTGACAGTGATACTTTGATATCTCAATTTATCCACTTTTTCAGCACTATCATGATAATCTCATATAATAATGATATTTTAATATTTGACAGACACAATGTGATAAAAATGATTTCTCACTATTATCATTCTATTATCACCAAAATATCAATAATCAAACTAATGATACTCTATCAAGATATTTTGGTAAACAGCAATCCTGCACCTTGGTAGATCAGTTCGTAATTGAGTTGTCTTGCTGACCAAGGAAAGATAATTTATCTTTGATTTAATTTACAGGCAATTAAATGAGTGCTCGTGTAAGTAGAAATAATTTCACTCAAATTTTATCCTAAGTCGGTTTTTGATTAGAATTTAATTCATGCAAAAATTAGAATTTTGAGAAAATGCGCAAAAGATTAATTGCTAATTCTTGGTCAGCATATGACATCATGTTAGGGTCGGACAGAAGCAAAAGATTTCTAAAAACCCCTGCCGTTCCACCAACATGGCATGGCAACCGCGTTTGTCATTTGAATCTTACAGGATAAACTATTAAATTTTGCTTGTGTGAAGGCCCCGTTCATGTGTATTTACATACGCCACCCAACACAAAATCAAAGAAATTATTGCTGTCGGGATTGTCACGCGCTTGCACTTGCATTTTCGTTTTTTCTTTTCTTTTCCTTTCTTATCCGTTTCTAGCAGGTGTAAAAACCGGTGAGTATAACAATTACTTGAGATTTGAGTTTTATGCGAGTGTGCATATCCGTTTGAATCACTTCAATTCAAATGAACATGTAAAGAATGCTGATCGCTTGCGATAATGCTACTTGTGTTAACCATGCATTGTAAGCCAGGCCTTACTTCATTGATAAAACATAAATTTCCACGCGAAATTTTACGTCAGAAGTTTAAAGCACGCCATCTGTGACGATTCAACTACTCTGACACAGAGGAGCTCTTCTTGTTTCAAGACGTCAAGTAATATGAATGAATAAATGGGACTGAAAAGACACCTTGAGCCAATGTTAGCTAATGTTTTATGACGCTCCATTCCCGTTATTGCATGGTTGTTTTTTCTGTTTTTATCATGATGAAATGATCTAGTACCTGCATAGTGTTAAACAGGGCAAACAGATACTGGAATACGACATTTTGTGTGGCAAACACCAGCAAGCCAAACAACCACGTGACTCCAAGAAGAGGGAAAAGGACTACCAGTGACTTGAGGGTCGATCTAAAGTAGGATAAATATTTGCTGTTAATAAACGAAGTTCTTTAGGACGAAATGACGGTTTTCTGTAAGGGTTTTATGTTTGTTCACGACTTAGCTGTAAATTTCCTTGCAATAACAGGACCAGACAAACTGGCATGTATTGGTTTAGACCATGCTGTCAGTGGGTTAAAGTCTGTCCTCAGCTTAAATGAACAGCGCTCCATTCCGTTTCCCAAAGCATAAAGCGTCAAGGAGAGTAGCGGTTCCTACTTTGGGGAGGTTTATCTATCGCAGATTAACCCACTCCGCAGGCGGGTATTTTCATGGCAAGTTCGCCTAATAGTTTTGCCGTCACCTACTTGATCTGAACTCCTAGTTAGAGAGTGTCACTGTGAAATTGCTCATTCCCAAAGAGGATTGACTGCCTGGCGCTCCAAACATCCAATACCAAATTTTCTATTGTTTCCCCCTCCCGTCAAATGCAATTGTCAAGGTTGCCGTTGTTTTTGACACAAGTCCACACAAAGATGCCGGCTAGGGCTCGTACCCAGACCTCTCAATTCTAGGTCAACACCTGTCAGTTCCATGGCAGTAATTTACTGTTAAGACTAATTATTTACACGACTCACAAAGAAGCATAGAGTTTTACCTAGCGACATCACCCATGTATGTTCTTCCTGTTGTGTGAAGACGACAAATCTCATTAAGAACCAGCGCTAAGATCACAATGTTCGCCTGAAACAAATCACGTATTTTCAAATCAGACAGATTAAGCGCTACATTTTGCGACAAACGGCAAACTGGTGTTGACTCTATTTACGTTTTCACAAATTATTGTATAAATTTATTAGATAAGTGGATAAAAATTCACTTAGCCACCACGAACGCTATTCTTCTTATTCTTGTAGAATAGAAACGACAAAAGTGCATGGAATTTTGCTATTCGCGGGAAAACAGGAACTGATGCTTAGTCTCTCTAATAATGTTATTAACGCCTTCATAACAGCCCTTCTCATTCCCCTCTCAACTGAAATTGTTACTCCAGGCAAGAGTCCAGTCGCTGGTGTTTAAGAGTTGAGGTTTTTGTCGGCTTCTGTTGCATTGGATAGAACATTAGCTTACAATGTGTAAAAAAGAAGCCATTGGCAATACTGTTGTTCATGATCAATTTTACGTACAGGCCCGAATATGTAGTAGAATGGCGCAATGTACTGACGAGGAGACGCCCTGATCATCCACTCGCAGTTTTAAGATCACAACGCGCGCGCATTGTCTCTTGGTGTTTTGTGATTTACCGCGTGTCAGCGGTTCAACTGTAGTTTTCAGACCTTTGTAGTTTATGATTAGGCAATTAATTAATTTTAAGACAGTCATAAAGAAAATGAACATCTAGTAGTAGTTATAATTATTGTATTAGTAGTAGTTTTAATTATTGTATTTATTTTGTATTTGTTTGTTTGTTTGTTTGTTCCTTTGATACCCTATTCTTAACTCACTTGGGTACTTACCAAAACAGTTCCAGCGACAGGAATGATGAAAGCTAGTAGTGCGTTTCGTTCTGGTGAAATCCAGCAACTGTCAGACAAAAAGAACGAACCTGTTGCATTACTAGACTTGTACCTACACGAGGACTAAATGACAAATATTCTCTCCTCTTAAAAATATTGAAGATCCGATACCAGGATTCATTATAAAAGAGGTAAAAAACGTTCTCTGGTAAAATTGTTTAAAATTGTGAGCTTTCAACAGCCAGTCTGCTGTCTTCGACGGACAAAAATGAAATGATACATCATTTCATTTTTGTCCGTCGAAGACAGCAGACTGGCTGTTGAAAGCTCACAATTTTAAACAATTTTACCAGAGAACGTTTTTTACCTCTTTTATTCTCTCCTCTCTCACCTTGTTTTTGTTCCGTAATCAGAGTATCTACTAGCAGCTGTTATGAAAACTACCAACGCTGGTACTCCTGTGTAAAATCAAACCAAAATGTTACAATCACGTGGCAGTAGCAATGATCGACATCACAAACATTTGTGTCAGTTAATTATCATCTAGAGCATGCGCACTAACCCCACGCTAGTGTGATGTAGTGATAAATTTTTGAAGACAGATTGAAGACTTTCACCACCATGGTATAAAGATGGACTCCCTCGCACATCATCCAGCCAAATGAGACCAAGTAGAAATAGTGAAGCATGATAGCTGTGAACTTACATTGGAACTAGTGCGGTAAACAAAAGAGAGACAACATTAAAATCGTCATCATACTTAGATATAGCACCAAGAATTATAGGACTAACAATTACTGATTCTATGGTACCATGAACTTGCAAATGTTCTTGCCGGTCAACGCTCTACCCGTTAAATATTCTGTTACTTAATAATATTTCTACACAGATCCTGCCTTGCTAGTGAGGGCACCTAAGCTTACAACTCCAATTAGTTTTTATTAGGTTTCCTCGATATTTGTTTATCTCTTTTCTAGGTTATTAAATTGTTCAAAAAATAGTTTACGTAAATGGAGAATGATGAAAAATAAATTTAAAAAGATTAATAGGTAAACAAGAAGGAACCACAACACCACTGTTTTTTAACTAAGTTATTGCAAGTCTCGGTTGCCTTAGCTTGCATTGGCACTGGACTTATTTACTTTGCCTTTGGCTACTGAATTTTGTGTCATAAATATAGAACTTCCGTTCAATTAATTATGGGCGAGGAAATGTAAACTAGCTACCCTACTTGATTGGGGCCCTATGCCCCATTGGGGGCTATATAAGGAATGATGATGACCCTACTTGATTGGTTTATAGAGGTTAGTTCCCTGCAATATTTGAAGTGTATTGATCTTTCATTTGTCAGTGGTGCTAGTGATTCATGAGAGGAAGGATGGACATCTGAAGCACGTTTCGATCAAATCATTTTTGCGCATTTGTTAGTTCTAACAAATCTTATAGTTGATTATTATATCTAAACTTCTCATTTACTGAATGAAGAAATTGACAGGATATTGTTGTTGTTTGCAAACCTTGTTATGAGTCTGTCCTATGCCAACCAAAAATATTGTCTGAGAAATAGCGATCGAAATTAACAGGTTTCCATGTATGATGTGACGGTCTGTATTCAGCTGTCTGTGAATAAAAAGGTCAATTTTAATTACATGTTTTGTCAACAGAAAATCAGAAGTGGCAAAATTTCTAGCTCGATTTGATTAGTACACTTAACAGCCCGCTGTGCATTTTTCTAAGTCGCTCAGAACGATTTCCAGTATTTTTTGCAGCACTACTTCTTTGATGTATCAATACTACCTCCCATGCTGCAATAATGATATCAAACAAATGCCCAATCATCGGTTAACAAGTTATGGCCTTTTTGTGATGCAGAATGTTACCATAACAACGTTATAACCCGTTAGCACCCTTAATTTTAGCGTTATGTGCTTAAACCTCAGAAACTCGAGTCCTGTGACTACCATGTTTCTTATTGTCGAATATATTTAGCATTTTAGTGAAAATAAAAATTATTACCAAGTTTAAAACAATTTGTAAAAGAGAAGATTCAGAGCCACCTTCTCAAGCCACTTAATTTAGGTACATTTGTAGAACAAACTATTTTGTATCGACCTTGGTAAGACTTCTGGAACTATATGCAGCCAATCTATTGCTTTACGAAATAAATCCGACCTCACAAACTGGTTTCAGTAGCGGGAGGAAGTTTAATAACTTTGCTGATTTCATCAACCATTATCAACGCAAGCGAATGAAGGAGAGCATCGTTTATTGTGTGTTACATTCCTCACAGAAACGTTGAAAGAAAACACCATTAGAAACAACTAAAAAAAATCATTTGTCACGCGGGTAGACAAATTATCAAGTGAAACTCACGTGAACACGACAAACGACGTGATGGCGCCAACTGCACCTAATAAAGACAGCACGCATCCAACGTATGTAATGATATTCAAGGCAAATTTATTAGCTTTTGACAGCTGGAAAATAAAATAAAACTAGAGTAAAATAAACCGGAATAATAAGTAATTAGACGTCATTACCTTTAGTTATGTTCTAGCACAAGTGCCTGCGTAGGCTTTTAAAAATCTATTGGCCCATGCGAGTGTCAAATGAAGAGGTTCGTAAGAGAGCTAACATGGAAACTATCAGCGAACAATTAAGGAGAAGGGGGTGTACATGAATTGGACACGTACTGCGACTGGAAAACAGTTCCTCCCACGTGTTGTACTGACGTTGGTACCAGAAGGAAAACGCTAGAGAGGAAGGCCCAGAGAAACATGGAGTAGGACGGTGGAGAAAGAGCAAATGCCCCCCCTAACCAAATCGTCCTAGTTCATGGAACGAAAATGGGATGATATGGGATATGTGATCTATTTCTAAAGGCTATCTCAAAACCTCCCTTTTCCTTCATAAGTCGGAGAGAGAGACAAAGGCGCTCTGTATAAGATTTTAATCTAAGATAAAGTCGAGAATAAAATTAACAGAATGAAGGAAGAAAGGAATTTTCAGCTAGTACACAATGCTTACCGAGAATTCTCTTGACGCCATGAGAATAGCAAAGTTAGTAAGATGATCACAGGCACACACTGTATGTGAGCTGTTGGACTGTTCAGTAACCACGTGACAGCCCTCTCGTGACCAAGCACCTCTACCATGAGCAGTACTGGAAGAAAATGTAAAAAACACAATAAGCTTCCATCTATTCTCTTTTGACAGATTGTTATGGTAAAGACAGAGTAGCGGATTGGGTGACGGCATATTATCCGAAGCTTGTTAAAGCATAAAGAAGAAGAAATTGGGTGAGCCATCTTGAACCTCTATTGTTTCATTCTTGTTAATCTGCACCTCTCTTGTTCTTGGGGTTAGGGGCATTGTTTGTGTTCTTTATCTATTGTTTCGTTTAAACAATGATAAAAAAAACCTGTAAACAGTGAAGGTGGACCTTCATGATTAAAATTGAGAAGTTTACATTGAGAAATAAAAAATGGTTGATTGATTGATTGATTGATTGATTGATTGATTGATTGAGTTAGTGAGTGATTGATTGATTGATTGATTGATTGACTGATTGATTGATTGATTGATTGACTGATTCATTGATTCACTGATTGACCGATTGATTGAGTCTAAGATTATAGGGGATAGTCCATGGGAAGGGCTATTTTTTATGTCAGTAATATAAAAATAGTCAAAGAAAGTTAATGTAGTAGTAGTTCACTTACTTTATCGAGAAATCCCAGAAAGCACAATATGTAAACTCGTTGTCATCAAGAACCTACATGAGAAAAAAATTTCTTTTAGCTGAATGTTAAGTGTTGTTCTTACAGAACAAAGGATTTTTCTGTTAACTCAACTCAAACAAACTCTTTCACAAGGGGATAGTGAGGCACGGAATCGACCCTCTCGCTGGATAAATCAGAACTTACCTTGAGATGTTTCAGCACAATGAGAATGTGTCTTTGAAAGGTGTTATTGACTGGAACACAGAGGAACATGGAGATCACGCGACTGTTTAACTTCAGAGTTTCATTTGTACCGCCCCTGCGTATTGTGATAATCATGCGTTAATAAATATGTAGATGATGACGAATGCTAACTGAATAAAATAACCTGCTTTTCGTTCCGCCTAGGCTAGGAATAGCACCCTCTGACGGGAGGAATTCACCTGCGAATTCGAGGGGCGTGCAGGAAATGAGTAAGTTGTACATTACTTTTGTGCAGAGAACTTGTCCAATTAATTTACCAGAAAACGAGCCTAACAGTAACAAACTCCGGACTGTGCGGACACATATATAAAAAAAGACGCAATTAATAAAAACCACGTATAATTGTTCATGACTCACATGAAAGCCCTTATGAGATTATCTAGAGAGACAAATTATCAAACAACATCGAACCGCCATATTTGTGTGTACATGTAATGCTGTAGCGATCGCACGGTCACTTAAACTCCACGTCCTCACTCTTTTTCAAATTTGAAGTGAGCTAGCTATACATAACAGGCCAGTACAGAAAAGTGAATCAGTAAGATGTAAATACTCACACCCGTGCTGGGACAATAGAGTGCAAATTCGAATACAGAGCACCAATTGAGCGGCAAGGATCTGCAAAAAAATATAATGTCCTTCTTTCGTATTAAACGTATAACTTGAGGTTAACGAAACCTTGCTGTATCGGTAATTTCACTGACCATGAGAATTAATTCATTCTATATAACAATTAAATGAATGCGTGCGCTCTGATTGGTCAATCAGCTATGGTTTATTGTGCTAGTAAACTCATGGAAATTTCGCTTGTCTTCTGAATTATTATATAAAAGCAATAGACCACAAGTTTTTATGGTTTATAGGGTGATAAACCACTTGGGATGTTGGAAGAACACTCAAAGAATTCATAAATCACGAGCCGCAAGAATTCTTCGAGTGTTGTTCCATCATCCAAAGTGGTTTATCAGCCTATAAACCATAAAAACTTGTCGTCTATTGCTTAAATAAACGGGACTGTTGCTGAAGAATCAGTTGAACAGTTTACGACATGGCACTATATTGCCGTTTACATGTAATTACGTCAGAGTAGACATTAAAAAATTAATCTAAGAAATACAAGCTGAGTAAAATAGTCAGAAAACGTAACTGTATTATCACCAACTTGTCATGCGGATACTTACATCTGTCCTGAGAGAGCAGTTTCTGCGGCAGCCTTATGTAATCAGACACTTGGTCCCCGGACGTCTCGTTGTATGAGTGAAGTTGAGATTCTTCCGGAAATTTATACATACCACTGACTCTTGCACTTTGAAACACTAAATAAAAAGAAAGATCATATTAGGCTAAATTCAAGAAGCTATGGATAGGAAAATAACTGACTTTTTCGGTTCTCTACCTCGTTCCTTATTCGTTGGCTTTTAGTTACTAAAATGTTTTCGGAATATCTTATATATTACAATATTTCGAGAGAAACCCACATCAGCCTTAGCTGGTTTTCACGCGGGTCCTCTATCCTGGTCGAATTAGTTGGAATTTGGAAATGTCAGTTTTTGTGGAGGGAGGAAAACCGGAGAACCCGGAGAAAAACCTTCGGAGCAAGGCGAGAACCAACAACAAAGTCAACCCAACATATGGCACCGGGCCGGAATCGTGGGAATGGTGGGAGACGAGCGTTCTCACCAATGCGCCATCCCTGCTCCTCGTTATGGTTATTGGTTTGGTAGACTAAAAGAAGCCCCTCGTTTTTCACAAAATAAAGTGCGCGGCAGAAATAGTCGAGCAGTGGGCGAGTTCATGATATTTTTTTTCTTCTGTTCTGCAGTCTTTCACGTCACACTCGACGGACAAAGGAGAAAAGAAGGGCGTTAAGAAGTAATTTGGTATAGTTTCGCTTTTCTTCGTCAGATTCAGATTCAGCTTTCGGAAATATTCGTATGTTTTCTTTGTTCTTGGTCGCACGCTTACCAAAGCTCTCGGTAAATATTCGTATAGGTTCACTGCTATTCGTCAAATCCTCCAGGACATCTTTCCACAGGTCTTCTAATATGATTACAATGTCAAAAGCGTTGAATGCGGCAGAGCTGTGTGCTTGTGAATGGAGGGCGGTTTCAAAGACATCCCCAGCATCATTTGCGGTAGTCTATAAAAAGTGATATCACAGTTAATTAGCCTATTCGTTTGCAGTAACCGCATTCGTATTATAAGGAGATGGTCATTCAAGAGAAAAAAGAAAGTGTGACATATCAATTCTCGAACATTTCGAACGGCTTCAAGTCGTTATCTTAGTTAATCAAAGAAGAAACGTGTGTAGAGAAAGCCATACTGTGATCTTGACTTATCATCAGACTCAAGATCAGGTATAAAATGTAACCTTCCAAATCAAGAACAGGCTGCATTACCATAAGCCCATCTCAATCCATGTTTCGGCTCAACCGGATTGACGTGAATGATAACATTTCTTCCATTAAAAGTTATACATACATCACTTACTCGTAAAATATCCTGAATCGTCGTTATCGATGTACTATCCTGCATACTCTTTTTCATCTTCTCAGTCTTCTTTTTGAAGCATTTGACCTAAAAATACAGTGGACAGATTACTTTCAACTCAGTTCATGTTACTGTTTATCTCCAGTTACCAAAGCAGTCACTTAACGCTCGGTTTGTTAAGTATTTAGCATCAGAAGTTATCTTCTCTCTATTTGAATTCTCAAGTTTCCCCTTGATTTATTTTGAACGCCTTCAACTGGGGAGACTCAGATGTCCTCTATACGCAAATATGTTATGTGATCAAAATAGAAACAGTGCCCTTATGGTAATAACTGAGGAACGTGAGCTTCTCCCGCGGTTTCAGTTGCCAACTGCAATAACATCTACGTTAGCTAGATGATATAGACTTTTGTTCACCCACTTTCTCTTCAAAAGCCGCTGCCTGGCAAGGATTCGTGGTTGGACTGGAGGTTCCTGAAACTATACAAAAAAGCAACATCAACAATTTACTCTCCTTAATTACTATTTTATCCAACCTTCCCTCCATCCATCCCCAACTCCGCGTGTCCGTCCATCCGTCCATGGATGGCATCTATCATCGATAGATCTGTCGATATGTCTGCCTGTCTGTCTGTCTCTCTGTTGGTCTGTTAGTCTGCCCGTCCGTCGACTGTTCCTTTACAGTCAGTTATTTATCATGCTCGACCTACTTTTTGTGGTTATTGAAGAGCTTGGGCCTTCGGAGGTCGACAAGGTAGGCACTATTACTCCCCTTTTGGAGACACCTGGTAGTACTACAGATCATTGTTATAGAGAAAGACAACAGAAAAAAATAACATTAGATTGCTTCGCATTTGGATTAATTTTAATAACAACATAATTAAAGAGATTATCTTCTTACTTCATAAAAAGAGCAGTTCACTTTTGTGTTTCTAACGAGAAAATAAGGCTATAAGAATACTGTTTTACCTGAAGACGAAGGTATTATGACGCCTTGAGTGAGCAGTGTAGTATACTGGCTATAAACCATACTAACTGGCGAGGAGGGTGATATTTCACTGTGACTCATGATCAGGCTCCCACTCGAAGAAGCTGTTGGAGTTGGACTCAGTAAAATTGGACAAAGAGATGCAGCTTGGTCTGGAGAAACAGTTAAAATGTAGCTTGATTCGATTTAGTAATCATGCACCTTTGTTTCTAATTCTCTATTACTAAATGACACAACTGATGTAAATAGCAAATGAACAATTAATGATTACTCAACCGCCCATGTTTAAAGCTCTACAGGAGCTCAAAGTATTATACTAGAAAGTTCAATTTTGGTTGCTTGCGACAAAGTTTAATGTGATAACGTATATGAAGAGATGTAATGTACCAAGAATTTTTGCAGACTGGAAGGCTAAAATCAGCACTTTCGATTGTTATGACGTCAGGGGTAACTTGTATCCAGATTGTGGCTTCTTCTGTCAGTTATGGACTTAAGAAGTGATTAATATTGTGTAATTTTTCAGTTGCGGACGTGTTGTCGCTGTACATGTGTGATAATAGGTTTTTGCCTGGGCAAACACGATGACCATGGTAAGACTGAGGCACCTTGCTAGCTCCACAAGGCTCGGATCTGTTACAGCAGATACAATCTTCAGAGACCAATAGAACAGACAAAACTTGGCTCCAATACGAGACTGAGAGCTTTATCCTCAAACATAACCAGACCTCCACCTCTCCGTTGCCCCATCACTGGGGGTGTAACCGGAGATCAGTTTACAAAACACCTGTATTTATGGTAGTCTCTACACAAATGACGTGATCCGCTGCTAATGAGCCCATGGCCATCGCATGCTTACAACTTCAGGACGTTCTCGTTATAATATGTTGCATGCTAATACAGATAGCCAGATGGTTACCATAGTTATTGAATTTCTGCTTGCTATCGGCTCTTCTATGTTAACAACGTATCCGCAAATTCTCTCCTCAAATCGCTAAATTAAATTAGTTCCTAACATGTTCTGCACGAGGAACCCATGAGTGTCTGCACCCAATCTGTGTATTCATAGCTTGTGTATAGCTAATGTACATTATTCTGAGAAGAAGTAATATTGTAACAAAGCATACCTTTACTAATGCTTCTACATGCCTTTTTCTTTGCGTGATAAAAAGGTCTGTCGGAAGGACAGGTGTAATCAATGGCATCTGTCCCAATTCGATAACAACTATAAAACTTTCTGCAGTCGTTTTGATCTGGAAAACTTCCTGTAGAGTTGCACAGGACGCCGTCTGCAAAAAAGAGTTACATGCTGAAAATAAATACAAATTGCATAGTTGCTAATGAAGCAGGGGTTCTACGAGGATACAATTAACAAGATTCGTATGCATGCGCGAAGGTTTGTGTTCGACGCCTTAAACTAACAAAGTCGATAGAAACTGAGAGCGAGCTTTGTGGGATCTATTAAACCAAGAACATCAAAAGATGAAGAATATCAATACAGCAGATTTACTGACGGTTTTGTTCCATAATAAAAGAACAACCATTCGTATAACAAAGGCCTTCCTGGCATTCTGGGCAAATTGTACCATTGGAAGACAAAAAGCTTGAAGGTTAAAAAAAAAAAATAGCAGGAAAATGAGGTTTGATACTGACACGGGATACCTAGGAAGTGTAATTAAAATTTAATTATGATGTTATTAAATTCTTTATAACAATCCATTCTCTGTTCGTAAGAGTTTGCATTAGAACAAGTTAAAACAAACTAAGCTTTACGTTTGTATGAAAACTCTTGATCAGCAATGAACACCACCCGAATTGTTTAAGACCCAGAGATAGCAAATCGAACGTTTTCCTGTATTGAAAAATGTATAAAATTTTATTGTTCCAGGTTTTAAGATTCCGGGCCTATAATTTTCGGTATTCCAGCCTTCCGGAGTTTGGGACAGGCCTTGAAAGAAAAACCTACCGGCCGCCGAGCGAAGTGTCAACTCGAGCTCAGTAACAAAGTAGCAAAAAATTTCAGACGTTTTGGACAATCGAAAGATGAAAGAAGTGGCATTTGTGCCTATTTCATTACAGAGTATTCAGCGCTAAGCCGACAGCATGTTTAAGCCTAAACCGAAAGCCCGATTTGTCAATATGAACTTAGGTTAAAAGGTATTTTACTTTTGGCTAGGTTGCTGATGTCAAAGTCCACTTCAAATGCCACACATTTTAAAACAAGAAAGGCTTCAATTTAGTCTTAGAGTGGCTTAAAATTCTTTTCTTTTGGATTCCTTTGAAACTGTCATTCTCGATTTTCCGTCAAACCAATACTAATGAACTGTCAGTGTAAAGAATTCAAGGACTAGGGGCTCAGAAGTACGGTATCCAATTGTTCATCATTCGCGAATGAAACGATGCATTAGTAACAGATACCTGTATATGCAACAATTTCAATTGTTCGATTATCTTCTTTATTAGAGCATTAATAAAGTAGCCGCGAAATCGTTAATAACGCATTCCCAATTCCATCAGCGTATCTGTCGTTCAGTTTGTTTAAAATATGAAGACTCAATTTATGGATGCTACTTTGTCGACCACCGACGGAGAAAAACAGCTATCTAGGCCGATAACTAATTATGTTTCTTTGCCCTTTACGTCGACCTTTTCTGTAATCCAGACTATAGTGGCATCTTCATATTGAAAAAGAAGAGAAGATATTCACTTCACGACATGGAATTAAAAAAAAAATGGATTCTTATCTACCTACCTACGGTGTTTATCCCAAGTCGACGTATTATGCATACCTAGGAAGTGATATTCACAACACATCAATATCAGATGAGGCCGAATATATCCTTTATGGCGGAATTCAACCAATTATTTCCTTACCTGGATTAGGAATAGAATTAATGCAGGTTTTAACATTGTTTGGACAGTTTTGAAAAGAGTACAGTTGGCTTAAGAGAAAGCAACCACCAACACCTCTTCAAAGTATCGAAAAGTAGTCGATATTCCCGAGAAATAATACTGGCAATAGGCCCTGACGAAATAGGTAACTCGAGAAATGCAGTAGACTCGGGTCTCAATCAGTAAGGAAATCTAACCGCGTTTTATCTGGCCGCAACGCCTCCAATAAGACCACAGACGATACGGCGAGTCAGTTTACAAAAACTAATTAACAGCAGAAGGAAACACGATTTACTGGATGAGTAGATGTATTCAAGTTCTTTCGCTGATCACAGTTAATCCGTAATATCACCTGATTACAGAATGTAGGAGGATTTTAAAATCATTAAGGTGGCTGCGGGCGTGAACTGGCGAATGTCGCTCATTCAATATATGCACCCTTAATTTTCTGCTTTATAAAAAAATGTGAAATAAAAGAAAATAACAGTGCTTCGAGAAAGTCAAATAAAGGGTTATTACTACTAAGGAAGAGTTTTTATACAAATAAACAGGTAAAAATGATCAAGTCATATATTACAAAATTACTGAATACATTGTAGAGATGAACTAAAAACCCATAAGTGTTGAGAGAAGAAGGGCTAAGCCCGAAACGTCTGTTTTACACGAACTATTTGACACTTTAAAGAGCTTTTCAGCCTTACAGTACTAAAGAAATCGTTAGTGTTACCATCGTTAGTGTTTACCATGGCAAAAAAAAATGATGGCGTCACTTTGCCTTAAATAAGCCAGTTTTTTCACATCTGATCCAGGCTTTTAAAAAAGACATTACTATGCTTAGTAAAAATAAACATAGATTAAACGGGGTTTTTGTTTGTTTTTGTTTTTTTGTTTTGCTCAAAATTAAAACGGTTGCGCTGTACAAGGTCGTGACTCTCACCGCACGATGTATGACATATATGGTACTCGTATCTACTATCATATAGTAATCCAGGTCCTCCCTTGCTTCGTTAAAACATGTAAGAGGTAAAAGGAATTGTCATGAAATATAATTTGTCTCTTTCATCAGTTCATTTATATTTAGCAATTCGATTTTGAGATGGAGGTCTCTATCGCGTGATAGTTGACGAGGGCAGCGCCCTCGTCAACTATCACGCGATAGAAATCTCGAGCAAATAATGTATTTGCTTTAGTATAAATCTGATAGTCGTTCAAAACTTTATCTAAATCCTCTTCACAGACACTTACAAAACGCGGAGAAGCGTCCGCCATTTNGTATGTTTTCTTTGTTCTTGGTCGCACGCTTACCAAAGCTCTCGGTAAATATTCGTATAGGTTCACTGCTATTCGTCAAATCCTCCAGGACATCTTTCCACAGGTCTTCTAATATGATTACAATGTCAAAAGCGTTGAATGCGGCAGAGCTGTGTGCTTGTGAATGGAGGGCGGTTTCAAAGACATCCCCAGCATCATTTGCGGTAGTCTATAAAAAGTGATATCACAGTTAATTAGCCTATTCGTTTGCAGTAACCGCATTCGTATTATAAGGAGATGGTCATTCAAGAGAAAAAAGAAAGTGTGACATATCAATTCTCGAACATTTCGAACGGCTTCAAGTCGTTATCTTAGTTAATCAAAGAAGAAACGTGTGTAGAGAAAGCCATACTGTGATCTTGACTTATCATCAGACTCAAGATCAGGTATAAAATGTAACCTTCCAAATCAAGAACAGGCTGCATTACCATAAGCCCATCTCAATCCATGTTTCGGCTCAACCGGATTGACGTGAATGATAACATTTCTTCCATTAAAAGTTATACATACATCACTTACTCGTAAAATATCCTGAATCGTCGTTATCGATGTACTATCCTGCATACTCTTTTTCATCTTCTCAGTCTTCTTTTTGAAGCATTTGACCTAAAAATACAGTGGACAGATTACTTTCAACTCAGTTCATGTTACTGTTTATCTCCAGTTACCAAAGCAGTCACTTAACGCTCGGTTTGTTAAGTATTTAGCATCAGAAGTTATCTTCTCTCTATTTGAATTCTCAAGTTTCCCCTTGATTTATTTTGAACGCCTTCAACTGGGGAGACTCAGATGTCCTCTATACGCAAATATGTTATGTGATCAAAATAGAAACAGTGCCCTTATGGTAATAACTGAGGAACGTGAGCTTCTCCCGCGGTTTCAGTTGCCAACTGCAATAACATCTACGTTAGCTAGATGATATAGACTTTTGTTCACCCACTTTCTCTTCAAAAGCCGCTGCCTGGCAAGGATTCGTGGTTGGACTGGAGGTTCCTGAAACTATACAAAAAAGCAACATCAACAATTTACTCTCCTTAATTACTATTTTATCCAACCTTCCCTCCATCCATCCCCAACTCCGCGTGTCCGTCCATCCGTCCATGGATGGCATCTATCATCGATAGATCTGTCGATATGTCTGCCTGTCTGTCTGTCTCTCTGTTGGTCTGTTAGTCTGCCCGTCCGTCGACTGTTCCTTTACAGTCAGTTATTTATCATGCTCGACCTACTTTTTGTGGTTATTGAAGAGCTTGGGCCTTCGGAGGTCGACAAGGTAGGCACTATTACTCCCCTTTTGGAGACACCTGGTAGTACTACAGATCATTGTTATAGAGAAAGACAACAGAAAAAAATAACATTAGATTGCTTCGCATTTGGATTAATTTTAATAACAACATAATTAAAGAGATTATCTTCTTACTTCATAAAAAGAGCAGTTCACTTTTGTGTTTCTAACGAGAAAATAAGGCTATAAGAATACTGTTTTACCTGAAGACGAAGGTATTATGACGCCTTGAGTGAGCAGTGTAGTATACTGGCTATAAACCATACTAACTGGCGAGGAGGGTGATATTTCACTGTGACTCATGATCAGGCTCCCACTCGAAGAAGCTGTTGGAGTTGGACTCAGTAAAATTGGACAAAGAGATGCAGCTTGGTCTGGAGAAACAGTTAAAATGTAGCTTGATTCGATTTAGTAATCATGCACCTTTGTTTCTAATTCTCTATTACTAAATGACACAACTGATGTAAATAGCAAATGAACAATTAATGATTACTCAACCGCCCATGTTTAAAGCTCTACAGGAGCTCAAAGTATTATACTAGAAAGTTCAATTTTGGTTGCTTGCGACAAAGTTTAATGTGATAACGTATATGAAGAGATGTAATGTACCAAGAATTTTTGCAGACTGGAAGGCTAAAATCAGCACTTTCGATTGTTATGACGTCAGGGGTAACTTGTATCCAGATTGTGGCTTCTTCTGTCAGTTATGGACTTAAGAAGTGATTAATATTGTGTAATTTTTCAGTTGCGGACGTGTTGTCGCTGTACATGTGTGATAATAGGTTTTTGCCTGGGCAAACACGATGACCATGGTAAGACTGAGGCACCTTGCTAGCTCCACAAGGCTCGGATCTGTTACAGCAGATACAATCTTCAGAGACCAATAGAACAGACAAAACTTGGCTCCAATACGAGACTGAGAGCTTTATCCTCAAACATAACCAGACCTCCACCTCTCCGTTGCCCCATCACTGGGGGTGTAACCGGAGATCAGTTTACAAAACACCTGTATTTATGGTAGTCTCTACACAAATGACGTGATCCGCTGCTAATGAGCCCATGGCCATCGCATGCTTACAACTTCAGGACGTTCTCGTTATAATATGTTGCATGCTAATACAGATAGCCAGATGGTTACCATAGTTATTGAATTTCTGCTTGCTATCGGCTCTTCTATGTTAACAACGTATCCGCAAATTCTCTCCTCAAATCGCTAAATTAAATTAGTTCCTAACATGTTCTGCACGAGGAACCCATGAGTGTCTGCACCCAATCTGTGTATTCATAGCTTGTGTATAGCTAATGTACATTATTCTGAGAAGAAGTAATATTGTAACAAAGCATACCTTTACTAATGCTTCTACATGCCTTTTTCTTTGCGTGATAAAAAGGTCTGTCGGAAGGACAGGTGTAATCAATGGCATCTGTCCCAATTCGATAACAACTATAAAACTTTCTGCAGTCGTTTTGATCTGGAAAACTTCCTGTAGAGTTGCACAGGACGCCGTCTGCAAAAAAGAGTTACATGCTGAAAATAAATACAAATTGCATAGTTGCTAATGAAGCAGGGGTTCTACGAGGATACAATTAACAAGATTCGTATGCATGCGCGAAGGTTTGTGTTCGACGCCTTAAACTAACAAAGTCGATAGAAACTGAGAGCGAGCTTTGTGGGATCTATTAAACCAAGAACATCAAAAGATGAAGAATATCAATACAGCAGATTTACTGACGGTTTTGTTCCATAATAAAAGAACAACCATTCGTATAACAAAGGCCTTCCTGGCATTCTGGGCAAATTGTACCATTGGAAGACAAAAAGCTTGAAGGTTAAAAAAAAAAAAATAGCAGGAAAATGAGGTTTGATACTGACACGGGATACCTAGGAAGTGTAATTAAAATTTAATTATGATGTTATTAAATTCTTTATAACAATCCATTCTCTGTTCGTAAGAGTTTGCATTAGAACAAGTTAAAACAAACTAAGCTTTACGTTTGTATGAAAACTCTTGATCAGCAATGAACACCACCCGAATTGTTTAAGACCCAGAGATAGCAAATCGAACGTTTTCCTGTATTGAAAAATGTATAAAATTTTATTGTTCCAGGTTTTAAGATTCCGGGCCTATAATTTTCGGTATTCCAGCCTTCCGGAGTTTGGGACAGGCCTTGAAAGAAAAACCTACCGGCCGCCGAGCGAAGTGTCAACTCGAGCTCAGTAACAAAGTAGCAAAAAATTTCAGACGTTTTGGACAATCGAAAGATGAAAGAAGTGGCATTTGTGCCTATTTCATTACAGAGTATTCAGCGCTAAGCCGACAGCATGTTTAAGCCTAAACCGAAAGCCCGATTTGTCAATATGAACTTAGGTTAAAAGGTATTTTACTTTTGGCTAGGTTGCTGATGTCAAAGTCCACTTCAAATGCCACACATTTTAAAACAAGAAAGGCTTCAATTTAGTCTTAGAGTGGCTTAAAATTCTTTTCTTTTGGATTCCTTTGAAACTGTCATTCTCGATTTTCCGTCAAACCAATACTAATGAACTGTCAGTGTAAAGAATTCAAGGACTAGGGGCTCAGAAGTACGGTATCCAATTGTTCATCATTCGCGAATGAAACGATGCATTAGTAACAGATACCTGTATATGCAACAATTTCAATTGTTCGATTATCTTCTTTATTAGAGCATTAATAAAGTAGCCGCGAAATCGTTAATAACGCATTCCCAATTCCATCAGCGTATCTGTCGTTCAGTTTGTTTAAAATATGAAGACTCAATTTATGGATGCTACTTTGTCGACCACCGACGGAGAAAAACAGCTATCTAGGCCGATAACTAATTATGTTTCTTTGCCCTTTACGTCGACCTTTTCTGTAATCCAGACTATAGTGGCATCTTCATATTGAAAAAGAAGAGAAGATATTCACTTCACGACATGGAATTAAAAAAAAAATGGATTCTTATCTACCTACCTACGGTGTTTATCCCAAGTCGACGTATTATGCATACCTAGGAAGTGATATTCACAACACATCAATATCAGATGAGGCCGAATATATCCTTTATGGCGGAATTCAACCAATTATTTCCTTACCTGGATTAGGAATAGAATTAATGCAGGTTTTAACATTGTTTGGACAGTTTTGAAAAGAGTACAGTTGGCTTAAGAGAAAGCAACCACCAACACCTCTTCAAAGTATCGAAAAGTAGTCGATATTCCCGAGAAATAATACTGGCAATAGGCCCTGACGAAATAGGTAACTCGAGAAATGCAGTAGACTCGGGTCTCAATCAGTAAGGAAATCTAACCGCGTTTTATCTGGCCGCAACGCCTCCAATAAGACCACAGACGATACGGCGAGTCAGTTTACAAAAACTAATTAACAGCAGAAGGAAACACGATTTACTGGATGAGTAGATGTATTCAAGTTCTTTCGCTGATCACAGTTAATCCGTAATATCACCTGATTACAGAATGTAGGAGGATTTTAAAATCATTAAGGTGGCTGCGGGCGTGAACTGGCGAATGTCGCTCATTCAATATATGCACCCTTAATTTTCTGCTTTATAAAAAAATGTGAAATAAAAGAAAATAACAGTGCTTCGAGAAAGTCAAATAAAGGGTTATTACTACTAAGGAAGAGTTTTTATACAAATAAACAGGTAAAAATGATCAAGTCATATATTACAAAATTACTGAATACATTGTAGAGATGAACTAAAAACCCATAAGTGTTGAGAGAAGAAGGGCTAAGCCCGAAACGTCTGTTTTACACGAACTATTTGACACTTTAAAGAGCTTTTCAGCCTTACAGTACTAAAGAAATCGTTAGTGTTACCATCGTTAGTGTTTACCATGGCAAAAAAAAATGATGGCGTCACTTTGCCTTAAATAAGCCAGTTTTTTCACATCTGATCCAGGCTTTTAAAAAAGACATTACTATGCTTAGTAAAAATAAACATAGATTAAACGGGGTTTTTGTTTGTTTTTGTTTTTTTGTTTTGCTCAAAATTAAAACGGTTGCGCTGTACAAGGTCGTGACTCTCACCGCACGATGTATGACATATATGGTACTCGTATCTACTATCATATAGTAATCCAGGTCCTCCCTTGCTTCGTTAAAACATGTAAGAGGTAAAAGGAATTGTCATGAAATATAATTTGTCTCTTTCATCAGTTCATTTATATTTAGCAATTCGATTTTGAGATGGAGGTCTCTATCGCGTGATAGTTGACGAGGGCAGCGCCCTCGTCAACTATCACGCGATAGAAATCTCGAGCAAATAATGTATTTGCTTTAGTATAAATCTGATAGTCGTTCAAAACTTTATCTAAATCCTCTTCACAGACACTTACAAAACGCGGAGAAGCGTCCGCCATTTTGTTCGACAACTGCACACTGCTAGGTTACTCACAAGTATCTGACTACAACAGAATAAATATAGTAGGGAACAGCCTAGCCAATAATAGGACGCTTATAGACTTATACAATTTGTAAAACCAATTTCTTGCTACCCAGGTCAATTAAGCTTTGCGGTCTACACGGTGATTGCATTACCTTTTTAACTCAGAAAATGATGATATGAACCGAAGGACGGGAATCCATTTTTCTTGTCCTAGACCGCTAGCGGCCTGAGNGTTATCTTAGTTAATCAAAGAAGAAACGTGTGTAGAGAAAGCCATACTGTGATCTTGACTTATCATCAGACTCAAGATCAGGTATAAAATGTAACCTTCCAAATCAAGAACAGGCTGCATTACCATAAGCCCATCTCAATCCATGTTTCGGCTCAACCGGATTGACGTGAATGATAACATTTCTTCCATTAAAAGTTATACATACATCACTTACTCGTAAAATATCCTGAATCGTCGTTATCGATGTACTATCCTGCATACTCTTTTTCATCTTCTCAGTCTTCTTTTTGAAGCATTTGACCTAAAAATACAGTGGACAGATTACTTTCAACTCAGTTCATGTTACTGTTTATCTCCAGTTACCAAAGCAGTCACTTAACGCTCGGTTTGTTAAGTATTTAGCATCAGAAGTTATCTTCTCTCTATTTGAATTCTCAAGTTTCCCCTTGATTTATTTTGAACGCCTTCAACTGGGGAGACTCAGATGTCCTCTATACGCAAATATGTTATGTGATCAAAATAGAAACAGTGCCCTTATGGTAATAACTGAGGAACGTGAGCTTCTCCCGCGGTTTCAGTTGCCAACTGCAATAACATCTACGTTAGCTAGATGATATAGACTTTTGTTCACCCACTTTCTCTTCAAAAGCCGCTGCCTGGCAAGGATTCGTGGTTGGACTGGAGGTTCCTGAAACTATACAAAAAAGCAACATCAACAATTTACTCTCCTTAATTACTATTTTATCCAACCTTCCCTCCATCCATCCCCAACTCCGCGTGTCCGTCCATCCGTCCATGGATGGCATCTATCATCGATAGATCTGTCGATATGTCTGCCTGTCTGTCTGTCTCTCTGTTGGTCTGTTAGTCTGCCCGTCCGTCGACTGTTCCTTTACAGTCAGTTATTTATCATGCTCGACCTACTTTTTGTGGTTATTGAAGAGCTTGGGCCTTCGGAGGTCGACAAGGTAGGCACTATTACTCCCCTTTTGGAGACACCTGGTAGTACTACAGATCATTGTTATAGAGAAAGACAACAGAAAAAAATAACATTAGATTGCTTCGCATTTGGATTAATTTTAATAACAACATAATTAAAGAGATTATCTTCTTACTTCATAAAAAGAGCAGTTCACTTTTGTGTTTCTAACGAGAAAATAAGGCTATAAGAATACTGTTTTACCTGAAGACGAAGGTATTATGACGCCTTGAGTGAGCAGTGTAGTATACTGGCTATAAACCATACTAACTGGCGAGGAGGGTGATATTTCACTGTGACTCATGATCAGGCTCCCACTCGAAGAAGCTGTTGGAGTTGGACTCAGTAAAATTGGACAAAGAGATGCAGCTTGGTCTGGAGAAACAGTTAAAATGTAGCTTGATTCGATTTAGTAATCATGCACCTTTGTTTCTAATTCTCTATTACTAAATGACACAACTGATGTAAATAGCAAATGAACAATTAATGATTACTCAACCGCCCATGTTTAAAGCTCTACAGGAGCTCAAAGTATTATACTAGAAAGTTCAATTTTGGTTGCTTGCGACAAAGTTTAATGTGATAACGTATATGAAGAGATGTAATGTACCAAGAATTTTTGCAGACTGGAAGGCTAAAATCAGCACTTTCGATTGTTATGACGTCAGGGGTAACTTGTATCCAGATTGTGGCTTCTTCTGTCAGTTATGGACTTAAGAAGTGATTAATATTGTGTAATTTTTCAGTTGCGGACGTGTTGTCGCTGTACATGTGTGATAATAGGTTTTTGCCTGGGCAAACACGATGACCATGGTAAGACTGAGGCACCTTGCTAGCTCCACAAGGCTCGGATCTGTTACAGCAGATACAATCTTCAGAGACCAATAGAACAGACAAAACTTGGCTCCAATACGAGACTGAGAGCTTTATCCTCAAACATAACCAGACCTCCACCTCTCCGTTGCCCCATCACTGGGGGTGTAACCGGAGATCAGTTTACAAAACACCTGTATTTATGGTAGTCTCTACACAAATGACGTGATCCGCTGCTAATGAGCCCATGGCCATCGCATGCTTACAACTTCAGGACGTTCTCGTTATAATATGTTGCATGCTAATACAGATAGCCAGATGGTTACCATAGTTATTGAATTTCTGCTTGCTATCGGCTCTTCTATGTTAACAACGTATCCGCAAATTCTCTCCTCAAATCGCTAAATTAAATTAGTTCCTAACATGTTCTGCACGAGGAACCCATGAGTGTCTGCACCCAATCTGTGTATTCATAGCTTGTGTATAGCTAATGTACATTATTCTGAGAAGAAGTAATATTGTAACAAAGCATACCTTTACTAATGCTTCTACATGCCTTTTTCTTTGCGTGATAAAAAGGTCTGTCGGAAGGACAGGTGTAATCAATGGCATCTGTCCCAATTCGATAACAACTATAAAACTTTCTGCAGTCGTTTTGATCTGGAAAACTTCCTGTAGAGTTGCACAGGACGCCGTCTGCAAAAAAGAGTTACATGCTGAAAATAAATACAAATTGCATAGTTGCTAATGAAGCAGGGGTTCTACGAGGATACAATTAACAAGATTCGTATGCATGCGCGAAGGTTTGTGTTCGACGCCTTAAACTAACAAAGTCGATAGAAACTGAGAGCGAGCTTTGTGGGATCTATTAAACCAAGAACATCAAAAGATGAAGAATATCAATACAGCAGATTTACTGACGGTTTTGTTCCATAATAAAAGAACAACCATTCGTATAACAAAGGCCTTCCTGGCATTCTGGGCAAATTGTACCATTGGAAGACAAAAAGCTTGAAGGTTAAAAAAAAAAAATAGCAGGAAAATGAGGTTTGATACTGACACGGGATACCTAGGAAGTGTAATTAAAATTTAATTATGATGTTATTAAATTCTTTATAACAATCCATTCTCTGTTCGTAAGAGTTTGCATTAGAACAAGTTAAAACAAACTAAGCTTTACGTTTGTATGAAAACTCTTGATCAGCAATGAACACCACCCGAATTGTTTAAGACCCAGAGATAGCAAATCGAACGTTTTCCTGTATTGAAAAATGTATAAAATTTTATTGTTCCAGGTTTTAAGATTCCGGGCCTATAATTTTCGGTATTCCAGCCTTCCGGAGTTTGGGACAGGCCTTGAAAGAAAAACCTACCGGCCGCCGAGCGAAGTGTCAACTCGAGCTCAGTAACAAAGTAGCAAAAAATTTCAGACGTTTTGGACAATCGAAAGATGAAAGAAGTGGCATTTGTGCCTATTTCATTACAGAGTATTCAGCGCTAAGCCGACAGCATGTTTAAGCCTAAACCGAAAGCCCGATTTGTCAATATGAACTTAGGTTAAAAGGTATTTTACTTTTGGCTAGGTTGCTGATGTCAAAGTCCACTTCAAATGCCACACATTTTAAAACAAGAAAGGCTTCAATTTAGTCTTAGAGTGGCTTAAAATTCTTTTCTTTTGGATTCCTTTGAAACTGTCATTCTCGATTTTCCGTCAAACCAATACTAATGAACTGTCAGTGTAAAGAATTCAAGGACTAGGGGCTCAGAAGTACGGTATCCAATTGTTCATCATTCGCGAATGAAACGATGCATTAGTAACAGATACCTGTATATGCAACAATTTCAATTGTTCGATTATCTTCTTTATTAGAGCATTAATAAAGTAGCCGCGAAATCGTTAATAACGCATTCCCAATTCCATCAGCGTATCTGTCGTTCAGTTTGTTTAAAATATGAAGACTCAATTTATGGATGCTACTTTGTCGACCACCGACGGAGAAAAACAGCTATCTAGGCCGATAACTAATTATGTTTCTTTGCCCTTTACGTCGACCTTTTCTGTAATCCAGACTATAGTGGCATCTTCATATTGAAAAAGAAGAGAAGATATTCACTTCACGACATGGAATTAAAAAAAAAATGGATTCTTATCTACCTACCTACGGTGTTTATCCCAAGTCGACGTATTATGCATACCTAGGAAGTGATATTCACAACACATCAATATCAGATGAGGCCGAATATATCCTTTATGGCGGAATTCAACCAATTATTTCCTTACCTGGATTAGGAATAGAATTAATGCAGGTTTTAACATTGTTTGGACAGTTTTGAAAAGAGTACAGTTGGCTTAAGAGAAAGCAACCACCAACACCTCTTCAAAGTATCGAAAAGTAGTCGATATTCCCGAGAAATAATACTGGCAATAGGCCCTGACGAAATAGGTAACTCGA